ATTGATATTTCTTTGATGCTGAGTAAATTGTAGACTTTAACTTATTTATCTCTCCTTTTCATTATTTTCACTGTTGCATATCTTGGTGTAGAATCGTTTTTCATCTATTCTTAATTGAATTGAACATGGCTTTATGAAGCCAGAATGGGAAGAAAACACATGGCGAATACCATGTGACAACGTTGTTTGACTACATTTATGCCCACGTATCCGAACATGTTTGAAGACGTAGCGTTTTCAAATTGTTTTTACCCGTTCACAAATATCCGTTTTGGAAACATTGCGTTTTCAAGAGGAGTATTCCTTACCGGATACGCGTGAACGGAAGGCCATTCCACGAAGAAAAAATTTCGTTTCCAAAAATATCCGTGGTGACGAGGCCTTGTTGGTTGACGTTATCTCCAAGGATTGTTGAATGCTAGACACTTGCCATTCTGAAGGGGTTTATTTATATATTTTATTTAGAGGCTTTCATCACGCTTGACTTACAAAAGAGAGAGGGAGAGAGAAACAGAGACAGAGAGACAAAACAATATATATAAAAGCTAACAAGCGTGATGAGGGGCAGGTGAACGGACTCGAGGTCCCGCGGCGAGGCGCGCCCCACATATATTATCTTTTATTATCCTCAAACGTTCATGGCCATGAATTGCTAAAAGTGCCTTAATGACGTAGGCCAAGATGGAGACAATTTGGCCAAAAAGATATTTCCATTACATCAAACTAAATCCTATGAATAAGCTCAATGAATGATTGCTAATAACACAAATAATGAATCCAGAAATCTCGCCATGAAGCATGCAAAAGTCTATATGAGGCAAAAACAAGTAACGATATTGCGATCTTTATAACAAGCTAATTGTAAAGTGTTATCAAGATTTTAGCTTTAATTTCGAAAAACAATTACAAGAGCAAAGAGTAGAACGTGTTGATAACAGTTGGTAGTGTTTTCAAGTCAAGTGACAACTAGTTTATTACATGCTACTTTTAACAAGTGGTACTGGACAATTTTCGTGCACCTATTGGTCAGTTTAATACCTCAACTATATTTTTACTACATCAATAAAAGCACTCTTCTTTCCTATTCATCTTCTCTCGTTCCCTATGTAGTATTACGTTTATCAGCTTGTCTTCATTCATTCTACCCTTGACATCAATATTGACTGTCAAAAATAGATTAAAACGACATGTTAGAACTCATGAGTTCAAACACGAGTGTTTATAGCCAGCCATGTGGTTAGAACGCTTTATGAAGATCTTGGCATTTTTCCCGAGAAAACATATGCTCAACTAAACACATTCAATGTGATTGACCAGAAAAACTCAATTCTATGTCAAGTAAACACGAAGTTCTTTTTTTCTTTCTTTCTTTCTTTCTTTCTTTCTTTC